GATAGTAAAATCATCGATCAGCTCCAGGAGGCGAAAGACACAGCAGAGAATCTGAAGACGCAGATGGAGTCCAAAAATTGGGAGGTTTGTGTTTCCTTTATACTCAATGAGAATTTGCTGACTCGACTCTCTTTGGTAATGCAGAATAGAACAGAATAGCCATATTATTGTCATTCAGAACATATACAGTTAGTGTCAGTATTTACATCAAACTGTACAATATTAATAAACATTACCCCACCACACACTGATTAAGTATTATTATTGTTATTAAACTGAAATGTAGAGAGTCCAGTTAGAGAAAACTTCTTGATGCAAAGATCCAGATGATCGTAATGTCTCATTATTTTTGTTAACACTTAAGCACATCAACACTTAATTGAGCTTTATTTGCAAATATAATTCAAGACACCTCGGATAGTCTTTGATGAGTGTCTGGATCTTAGATGAAGCCATGTTTGATCCTTCTTCCATACAAAAAAGCAAAAAAAGCATCAACAGCCTGATTCAAATCATCCCACAAAATTTCAATGACATCCAAGTCAGGGGAATGTGGTGTTATTCTTCCACAGCACAGTTTCAATCTGTCTCATCTAAATGAGCTTTTATACAACGAGCAGTTCTGTTTGTAGTGTGAGTGCAGAAAGGCCTTCTTTTCATTACCCTCCCATACATATGTACAAATACAACACCAAGATGCTCTGCAGGGTTTTGGAGGTGATTCATCCTGACAGTCCGCTGCATTTGCAGCTCCTGTAATTTTCTTGGCCTGACCTGAGTTCAACCACAGCTGTGCCTGTGCTCTTCTATTTCCTGATTACTGTCCTTATAGTTGAAACTGAGTTTAAACCTCTGAGAGATCTTTTTGCAGCCTCCCTCTGAACCACAGTACTGACAATCTTTGTTTTCAGATCTTTTGAGAATTACTTTGAGAATCCAGTTCTGTCAGTGTTCAGTGTCAAAGAGAAGCACAACTTGAAAGTTTCCACCTTAAATACATTTTCTTATGATTGGACCTGCTTGCCTATGAAGTTCAAGGCTTAACAAGCTAATCCAACTGATTTAGTGTTGCAAGTAATCAGTATTCAGTCAGTAAAATTACAACGATACCCAAATTGTTGCACAGCCAGCTTTTACAACTAACTCCATTCTGTACGTCTAAATACTGCTTCACTAAAAATAGATGTTTGTGAAACCCCCAGTACTCAGATGTAGGAAATGAGGAGGAAATGAAATACGTGCTACTGTTATCTTTTTGTTGAATGAAGAGTGAATATTTATGCAGGGAGAGACGTTCCCAGATATTTTCATATGATTGTGCATTTCAAAACCTTTTAACAAATAATTCAAAAACAGCTTTGGTGACACAACATAAAACTGAACAGATATGTATGTGTGCCTGCTGAAATTCTCACCATATAAATATGAAAACTGCCCACATTTAGATTAAGTGCTTAACTTCAGAAAAATTCATTAAAGAGATAAAACGCTTGAATTGTCCCTTTTCGGTTTAAATCCTGACTAAACAGTCTCAACTTTACAGAGAGATCTCAACACTGGGTCCAGATCTGGTCCCTGTTCTGCCTAAAGTCTGATGTAAAGGTTCAGCTCTGTTTCAGCTTTTCATTCAGACAAAAAGCACTGTTGTTTCACTTACATGCATGATTTCTTTGCTTAGTGTGATGGTGCTTCTGTCATAAGTTGATAGAAACGAGTAGACACAAGAGGAAGTTTATTTTTATTATTTTATTGTTACGTTTGATTGGATTAACTGTGTGTGAAAAGATAAACACAAGAGTAAGACTATTGCAGATGTTCATTTCATTTAAACAGTATCCTTATAAAAGTTGTGGTTATATTGAAATTCATAATTATTCTTTAAATGATGACAGTTATAAGAAATGTGCTATCAGATGTCAAAGTAAATGGGACCATTATTTGTTGTGGTTCAAGTTCAAAAACTGAACTCAAAGTACACAGAGCTGAGTTGTGCCAACCCCAATAGTGAAGACTCAATATGAAAGTGTTGCTCAGAAGACAGATAAACATGGACGTATGTGATGGCTGCTATACCAATGATCATAGACCTGCACGCTCATTATGTCCCTCTGTGTGACTTTCTGCTTAATGTGAAGTCGTTAGTGGAAATTATGATGCTGATATGATTTTGTTTGATGTGACTAACCTGCTAATTTTTGACTTTTTATTGAGAAACAAAAAACACAAGTTCAAAAATACCATAGTGCCCCAATACTTTTAGTTATTGATTAATGAATTGATTTATGTAAATTGGATTAGTGTAAGAAAATTGATAGATGGGAAGTTTTTAATTAAATAACATTTATTGAAATTCAAATACACGAGTTGTTTTAGTCATATTTTTCTATAAGCAGGCCTGAAAAATGACAGAAAGCACTCACAAAATGTCAACGCATGAGACTTTTTTCCATGTCTTTTAATGTGCAGTCGGAGAAATGATTCTATAATTAGCATCAGCTTCATCAGGAGAAAGAGAAGACAAGATGCTGAGAGGAAAATGTAGGATTTGAGGGACCAGTTAAACACTTAAAAATAAGATGTTTTCTAAAACCTTTGACTGGTGATCTACATAAGAATGACAGCTGTTTTACTACATTAAGAGATAAACTAGTCTAAATAAATTAGGATATTGCAAAAGTGATTAGAAGAATATTTCCATTAAAAATATACTGATGTTTTCATTTCTCTCTGCTATTTGGAAAAGATGCTCCAGGCTGAGAAGACGAGGAATGATGAAGCTGACAGAAAACTCAAAGAGGTAAATCTTTTCACCCAAAGCAGTTCGCTGCTGTCATCTCTCTTTTATCTCTTTGTATACAATACAAATTTGGAATTTCTTCACAAACATTAATTTTCCAGCACAAAAACATATTTCAGTTCATAGCTGTGATCTTTGTCTTCATCTCTCTTCTGTCCTTTAGTTGGTAAAGCAGCTGGAGGAGAAGAAGACAAAAACTGAGAAAAATCTCAATGAGGTAAATCTTTGTCACCCAAATCAATCACCTGCTATTATCTCTGTTTTCTACGTGTTCAGGTTACAATCACACATGAGAACAAACCTCAGACACCAAATAACTGTTAGAGAAGCTCAAGTTTGTTCTCACTGTTTTCAAACTTGAAACTTAAAGACATCCTCAACCACTTTATATTTACATAACACGTTTTACTTTACATTTAAACAGATTTTTTTTTCTTTAGTGAAGTTTGTGATTGTATTGTTATATCATCTCTTATAAAAGAGCACATCTCCAGTCACATGTCCTCTCACCTGCTGTTAGAGAAAAAGTATTCATACTTAAACAATCAGCTCTAGCAGGAGAAAAAACCAAAGTCCAGAAATCAGGGATTTTATCTCTCTGTTATAATCCTCCTGAATTTCCTTCTAAACATAAAAAATGCAAAAATGTTTCAAAAAAAGACAAATGCTGAAAGTCATTAACTTGGATATTTAGGATACAGGAAATAAACATTTTAATTCCAGTTCATCGTTTTATCTCTGAGCGCACTCTCAGTGTTTTTGTCTAAGGTGACGACTGCACATTAGGTTTATGAATCTTTAAACTGGATCCATTTAAACAATAAAGGTCACTGCCCCACAGTCTGATAAAGTTGCTCACACATCAAAGTGAATTTAATTTGACTGAACAGATATTCTTGCTGTGTGACTTGTAATTGCTGCAGTGTAAAAGAGACTCAGCAGTATTTATGTTTTTTTGCATCACACAATTAATGGATGCACACTGATCATTCAGTAGTTTTAGTAAGGTACGGTTTAACAGCTCGCACATTTAAAATGTATTTGGCAAGAAGAGATTGTAAGGAAACTTACAAGATACTGTAAATTAAACAATCAAAGGCTTTCAGCTGATTTCAAACCAAATCTCAGATCATAACCTGCTGCTGTTTATGTGATCAGCACAGGTTACCACAGTGATTAACCAGGTAAAAAGAGAGAAACCTCTGTGACACAGACAACTCTGACTTTAATGTAAACATGAAATATTAAACTTTGGAGCCATCCTCTCAAAAACTGCAGACAGTGTTTAAGCAGATTTAACTCTGTTTGTGATGCTGGAGTTAAGAAATAGGTGTTCTCACTTATAGTTTGTTAGACCTTGTGTAGATCCATCTTGTACGAGTACAATATTACCGGTTTGTTTGGTTGGTTTGTGCTAATAGACATTAGTTTGTGTTAGTTAACTAGTGAAAGAACCTAACTAATAATCAAACTAAGGGGGCACTTTCGTACTGCCCATAGCTGCAGCAATGAGATTTATGTTAAGAAGAACAAGGATCTACTGCCCGCTTTCACTGTCTGTCTCTGAAGCAGTCAGTGGTTCTTCAGTTATAAAACAGGAAAATCCACCTGTTAGCTTTAAGGTTTGCAGAGCACTTTAAGCTGTTAGTGCACAGGTGCCTCACCTGACTAACAGCTAAAGTCTGACACTGTCACCTGTTTCATTTTTCTTCGTGGGGTCAGGTGTACAGACCGAGAGCTGCTATGAGGGGGCAGAGCAGATGTTCACAAGCTGTAAGCAGCACTATTTATGCTATATTCAGGTGTAATGTAACCCCCAGTTACTCTCTGGGTTAAATATCTTTTTCCAAACTCAACCAAAAGGTTTCCAACATAACAGGTTACTGTGATGTTTCCCCATCATCTCTTTTTATATGGTACAGATACTGATACTGAAATTACAACTTGAAGCATGCATGAAAACAATCGTGAGAAACTAAACCATCAACTCTGCTGTAATAAAACAGAAACTATAAACAGACAAGAGTTTAAACTGTTGTTGGGACGAGTTAAATGGAAATTTAAATGTTTCTCTGGAGATTTTTGTTTTTTTACATCAGGCCAGTTATATTTAAGTATAAGTGAAGCTGTGACTGGAGCTTTAGTGAATTGTGGTGAATATAGTTCAAATCCGAGCTTTGTTTTTATCTCTCTTCTGTCTTTCAGTTAGTAAAGCAGCTCGAGGAGGAGAAAACTGAGGTGAATCTTTGTCAAATCAATCACCCGCTATTATCTCTCTTTTCTACATGTTGTATATAACATGTTACTACATTTGTATCACTACGTGTACATTTCTTACTGAAGCGTGATTGGAATCCTTACACTCATCTTAGATGTTCTTTGTTTTGTTTGCTAAAGGTTAATTTTCTTTCCAACATCCTTGAATTTCTTTTCTTTAGCCATAGCAACTTAGCCATCTACTTAGATTTTTAAATCATTGTTTACCCTGCGGCCCCAGATAATCAGAAGGATGGTTGGACGTTATTTTAAGAATTCTGCTCTGTTTGTTTCTTATCTCCATATTTACTGTTGTTACTTCCTCATACTCTGTGGGATTTAGCAATGTTCTTTTTTAAAAAGTGGCTCGAGGTTCACACAGACTTGGTTCTTTTTTTTTTGTCAGAATAAACTTCTGAGCAGAAGTCCTAAAATAAACCTTTACTCTCATAGTCACTGAACTTTATACTTTGCTCTATAGAAACCAAACTAATATTACAGGGCTTCTGAGGGTGTTGGGACAAACACTTTAAAACTGTCTTCCAAGTTTACTGACTGTAGTTTTTACAGATGAATTGTATTTACAAACAAAGGACACTAATTGATCTATGCCAACAGGTTTCCCGCAGCAGCCGATTTAACTTTGGCTTTGGGAGATGATCCAATCAAAACTAATCCAGAAGTTGCTCAACATGTAACTGAGGAGTGCTTGAGGTCAAAGAGCTTCATCATGGAGAAACTTGGTGTTTGTTATGTCACTGATTCATGTTTAAATAATCAGTTGTTCAACTTGTAACACTTTAAGTGAAGTAAGCAAAAGCTCTTATCATCCATCTAAAATTCCCAAATACTAAAGTTGTTCAGTCTTTGTTATGTTAAAAATGAACTGCAAATTTTTAACTTAATTTTATTTTTTGAAAGATTTTAAACTTATTTTAAGTTAGTAAACCAACCGATAAATAAATAATTGATCAGGTAACAACTCCTGAGCTAAAGCACTATTCTAGTCACATTTGTGTGTCTGTGTGTTTAATATTGTGTTCATTTTTCTGTGTCCGACAAATAGAACTGATGTTGGTGTATCTGTGTTATTGTGATGAAAAAACATTTTATATAAGTCTGAGTTTTAATGTTAATTGAAGTAAGAAATGGAAAAAAACAATCTTGATCTTTTAACATTAAATTTCTTATTAAACTTATTACTAAAATAAATAAAGTTCCAAAACATTTTCTCATTTTTCCTGTGCTGTATATAAACATATTGTTTGCTTCTTCCTTTCCTCATACATTATATCTTCACTGGGTGTCGTTCCGCTCTTCAGCAGGGAACAATAGCCAGGCCCAAATCTCCAACACCTGAGTGCATGACACTGGGATTGTCTTTATATTTTTTGTCAATTTTTTTAAAACAGTTAACAAATCTGAAGATGAACGAATAAAATGCAGTAGCTGACATCCACGCCCCTTCTGTTGGGTACATTCATTTTAAAATATGTTAATAAATTTAAATATATAAGTTATTATTCTTGCCATGCTCACTATTTAACTGCAGAGGATAAGCTGACATGTTTACAGCAACAAGGTTTATATAGAATTCTGAAGCCACAAGCTGACATTGAAATGATCACACTGAAGTATTTTAACTCTGCTGTGAACAAAGACACAAACATTTTCTCGAGTGGTTTGTATCTAAGAAGCTAAAATTACTCGAGCGTCTGCAGCATCTAAAATCACCACACGCTGAGTAAACTGAGATACTTTAAAAATGCTCAGCAGGCCTGTGGTTTTAAACTCTTCTGTGCATGACAAGTTTAACAGCAATCAGCTGAATACTGCAGGAGAAAAAGGTTGCAGTAAAGAAAAATGAAGAAAAAAAGTATTTTTACAATATTTGCACTCACCTGTGCCTGTCATAGTGTAGCTCTTATGATTGTCCAGTTCTCTGCACTGTTTCATTCTCTAAATGTTAAAACTTCCAGAACATTCTCCATCAGTCGTGAATTAGTCTTTATCTGCAAATACCATTTATTTCTGTGTAACACTGAGTTTTCCAAAGTGAAGTAATCCCACTAACAACAGCAGCAGAACCACCATCACAATGGTGAAAATAGTCCTCAGCATTAGGAACACCTGGACGGCAGAACAAGAAGATGAGCAGGTCTCTCTGTGAAGTGCTGCAATGATAAAAAAATACATCTGCTGTAAAACAAACAAGGTTTAACTCTAAATGGGAAACTGATTAGCTTCACTTAGTTATACTAAGGTATTATTCGATACTCAATTATGATTAATTCTAGCTATTAATGTCTTAATTAAAATGACTGAATTTGTACCTGTGACAGTAAATCAATCAATCAATCAATCAAGCCTTTTATTTGTCACATGCAAAGTTTACACCTGCAGTGAAATTGGACCCCCCGACCATACATACAGCAGAGACATGACGTTGGAGGACAGGTAGTAATTTGGAAGAACATTGAAATGTACAGTACAATGGGCAAATGGAGGAGGGAAAAAAAGAGATCTCTACTCTATACTGGGCTCCTTATGGGAGGTCAGCATGAGAACAGAAAACAAAAAAGACTTCTCTGCACAGAGAGCACAAACATATCCACATCACCATAAACCACATGACAAGCAACGGGATGGGTAAGGGGGTGAGAAGTGAGCTGATTAGACACAACCATCTTGCCATGCGCTACTAATCCAGGGCTGGGACTTAGACCTGCTGTCTGACCTCGGCCTTGGAGATAAGCATTCGAAGGCGTTTGGAATCCAGGATGGGGGTTTGTTGGGAAGGAACAATCCAAACACAGTCTGTTATCAGGGAGAGAATTTGTTTATGTTCAGCTCCAGCCTTGAAACCTCAGCTGGTGCCGATATGGTAGCCGCATGAAATAATGGTGGTTTTCCTTTAGTGCGAACAACTGCATGTCAATTCTAAAGTTGATCTAACAGTCCATCACTGGTCTCTCAATCTCCCGTTGGAGACCGTGAGCTTCTCCAAGATCTTATCCGTGCTCCGTTCAATGAGCCCATGTCAAGAAGTCATGACTCGTCCCATCATTTCATTCACAGCGGGCAGCCTTGTGGGGTTTTGAACAGCTGATTCCACTTTATTTAATCTTCGATAAGCCAGGGCCAAGTCAGCTCCAATCATCAAGAACCCTGTTATCATGGTTCCGAAAAGGTAGATGTCTTCAACGTCCTCGATCGACAGTCCCGCCAGGCATATGACCCTCCAGTTCCTCCACCAGTTCCTCCACCCGTCCATCGTGTATCCGGCGGGGAATGTCCCTCCAGGACACTCGGGTTCACATGAGCCCAAGCTTCTCGTTGAGAAGAGGGTGTCAATTGCATTCAGGGACCAGTTGATCAAATCCATAATTCCCCTTTTAGGTTTTAGAGAACAGAACGTGAGACTCTTCCAGGGCAAAAGTAGAAAAGCAGACGAGACTAGACAAGGACACGAGAAGCCAAGCAGGAAATATAAGGGAGAGGAGAAAAGTGCGACCCCCTTTGTCAAGAGCCAAACGAGAAAAAAACAAGCTCTCTGGTGATTCTTTTTTTTTTTTTTTCTTTTTTTTTTCGCCTGTCCCGTTTGGCTCTTTTGCCATCAGAATTATTGTCTAAAGGCAAAGAAAGATGCCCAACGGATTTACTTTACCAAACTGACCATCCCAGCCTTGCCATAATGGTCCATTTGATTCAACTTTTATTGTTTATTTTATTTTCACTTGCTGAATACGGGACAGACTTGACTGGAGAAAGAAGGAGAGAAAGAAAGAGGGAAAGAGAAACAGCTGAGAAGAGGGACGGGGGAGAAGGGCAAAAAACAAAAACCAACAGAATGGGCAGAAAAAAAAATGCATATATCAATCACCTGGATCACCTGTTGAGAAAGAAAAAAGAGAACAAGCAGAAGAAAACAAGAGTAATACAATAAACAACATCACAATGATATATGGGAATATGACAGTAAATACTAAATATTAAACATTATTGTGCAGCACATAAGATCGACAGAACACAGTGTGCTTTGAGGTAGGAGCCAAAAAGGGTGTAGTTTGTGGGTGTGAGCACCCGTGTGTACACCTGTGAGCATGGACGCGCTTGTTTTTTTAAAAGGTTCCTTCATGTAATGATCTGCTAGAGGGTGTGGGGGGGCCACAGCCCTGTCCTCCAGGGCATGAAGCAGGTATGGAGGAGATCAAAACTCCAGACATCCAGAGGCTCTCAGAACAGATTCTCCAGTATTAAACATCTTACACTTGTAGAGTCCTTCATCAGGCCTGGAAACTTTGTGGATGGTCATCTCTCCTGTGTAGCTGTTCCCGATGAGGAAGCCATCTTTATAGAAATCAGCTGTGAAGTTTGAAGTCTTTGTCTTGTTCCTGCAGCGCAGAGTCACATTGTTTCCCTCCTCGATGGGGACAACAGGACTCTCTAGGACAACAGAACCAGCTGAAAAACAAGACTTTTTATCTGATACAGAAATCTGTAACATTTCAAACCAAACATGCAAAACACTGAAATAATAAGTGGAACAATTTTAGTTAAAAGCTGCCATGGTATTGGCCTCATTGATAGTCACTCATTTTAATGTTAATTTTTATTAACAGTAAATAGGATTGATAATTTGAATAAATTCATTATGATTCATTAAAATATTTAAGTTAAATGCTGTTTACAATAAATAATCACAATGATAGTTCAGAATACTACAGCTATAGATACAAATAGAACATTTTTATGTTATAAAATGTTTCTGAATGACATAAATCCATCAGGTCATAAATGACGTCATCTTTTCATAAAAAAATAGATCGGTCACTCGAGTGTTAAACATACGAGTTATGGTGATGTTGACACTGATGCTTTTCTCTCCTGCTCCAGTCTCACACCAGTATTTGCCGCTGTCTGTTGCATAGGCTCGATGAAGCGCACACAGTAGTGTTGGTGAGCTCTCATCACACGCTGAAATGAAGGCCTCAGTATTTTTGATCCCTTTTAACTGAGAAGCTCCATCAAGACCCTCACAGTGAAAGAAGACAGACTCCAGTTCAAAGAACTGCAGTCTTTTTGGGACGATGCGAAACACAGCATCTTAACCAGAAAGAGATCAAAGGTACAGAGTGAAAGGACGATCCAACCTTTTCTGTGCTAAACAAAGGTTTGTAGACAAAATCGCTTGATTTAAGAGAGAAACTTGCTTAGCAGCTTACCCCTATTTTCAACATGTGCGTCCAGCAGAATAAATACAAGTAACACTGAAAAATTAAAGAAATTATCAGCCAAAGAGTTTGTTACTGCAAATATAAACTCAGTTACAAATTAACTTCTGCACACGATCTCCTGCTGAAATATTTATAAATTATGACATTTCAACCTGCCAGATATTCAGTGAGTACTCCGAACATACTGACAAGATTGATTAAAATACTGTAATTAAGTTTCCAATGTTAATACCATAGGTTAACTGAATGTCAATGTAGAATTGTACTTAGTAGTCAGTATAAACTTTTAATCATATAAGTTTGCCTATGATAGAATACTGCATGATGACCTTTTGATGGCTTAGACTGTTGTTCACCACAAGACTTGTTCTGTTCTATCAGTTTCTTCCCACAGCAATAATAAGAGCTGAATACTCTTATTTTCACTCCCTAACAAGAAGAGGGGCCGCGTCCTTCAGAATCACACACAC